CCCTAGTAGCTATTATATCTGTTTACTAAAACGTCGTTAAATCTCGAAGTTCGTCGCTACGTATAGGCCTTAATCTTACTCTATATAACATAAAAGGCTAAATCTATAAAACACTTATCTTACCTACGCAACCAGATTATATATATATACCCTTACGGTCGCTTAGTCTATAAAGTAGTCTACGGTCGTATAGTCTAAGAAGTTGTCTACCGATAACGTTTTATATATAAATACTAGAACTATTAATCCCTTTTATATACCTCCTACAGCTACCTAAATCTCTACTTCTTTTATTTATACCGTATCTAGATATATAGAAGACTATATATACTACATCCGGCATTAACGAATAATGCTTTACTTTTATACGCAACTTAGGGTCGATTCGCCGTCGTCGGTCCTAGCCGCCGCCTTATATAGTACGAGTGTCTAAGATAAAGGGGAAATCGGCTTATCTAGACTACTTTATTCTATTTATAGCGACTGAGATAGCTACTTACGCCGTTATAACCGTCGTACTCGTCTTAATAGCCTCGATAGAGATAATAATTCGGCTTCCCTAAGCTAGCTCTCTAGCTTACTACTCCTAGGCGAATCGCGTAATTAGGATAATAACGACGGCGAGCGGTCGGTAACCCGAAGTATAACTATAATATAATCTAGTTAGGGTATAGATCTATATCGCGACCTAAAGTAGGGAAAGACGACCTATAGCGGNAATAGATNTAGAAGTAAAAACGCGACCGTCGGTAGAAAGGTAAAAGAAGTCTACCTAGTATATACTTAATAACTTAGTAAATCCGACACGCTAAATCCGCTAATTCGAAGCGACTATGTTCTATTCGTAATAGCTTAGGGACTTATAACTTAACCGATAAGTCGGTATTTCTCCCTTCTAATTATAAACGACGAAAGCACTAAAAAAGTTATCTATAGATAACTTCTTATAATAACGATTTTAAGATAGAGCGCCTTTCTTTACACTTTACGTATAAGTCCCGCTACGGCATCTTAATCTATAAGAGCTACGAATTTGCTATACCGCCTAGTTAGATTAAAAACTACCTTAAGACGCGCTACCCGACTATAACGCCGGAATTACGTAGTACTCTCTAGGATGCTATCGACTAATTAGATTATATAATACGCGATAAGTCTTAAATCATTTACCTACCCTCTAGCTTATTACCTATCCCTAGTTTACCGCTCTATACTAACGGCTACCGATGCTAGATAAATAAAACCTTAGGTGACCTCTATCTATATATATACCGTACTAAACGCGGAATTTAAGAACATTATAAAACCGAGCACTAATAGAAAAATCTAAGCTAAAGGGGTAGTAACACTAGAAATAGAGGTGTTTAAATAGGGGTAAATAATCCTTAGTTAGTAGACTAGCATTACTAGAGATTCTTCGAGTACGGACCTTAGAAAGGATTCTTTTACGTTTCTCTAGTCGTAGTATAGGGGTCTAAGGCGGCATATTATACGACTCGTCTAGTAGAGGAGACATTACGAGAGATTAGACAGGAAATATAGCAGGTAAACAATAAACGTATAATCGAAGCGTCTAATAACCGGTATATAGCTAACCCTTAGCTAGAATTTATTCGCTAGGACTATCATCTAAAAGGTTTCACTTATTACGACTTATTATATACTATGTCACCCGTTAATCTAGACTACACTCGACTACCCGAAGACCTAGCTAGAGGCCTACTAGATCCTATTAAATAAACCGTAGAAAAGGTATTACTATACGCCTCCTAGGCTACCTACCGATTAATTAAGATAGCCTTAGCTACCTGTCGGCCCGAGCTTATTAGCAAATCGGCACTAGAGTACGTCTATAGAAGAGAAGTCGGTAATACTATAAACGAAAGGCCTTTCTATACTAGATATAAGGCTAAAACTGTAAGGAAATATAGAGATGCCTAGGTAAAGATACTAAGATATATATAGCGTATAAGCGAGCGCGAGAAATCCTAACGCCTAGGCTATATACTTATAAAAGATTAAACAAGTTACTTAGTAGCACTTAAACTTACTATAGTAAGGTAGGCATTAAACACCGATAGGTAGACTAAGGCTAAAAGGCGAAGAGAACTAGAGGCCGTAAGCCTAGACTTCTAGATTTCTATGTTTCGCTACGAGTTATAGGATAACGAGTATAAGAATAGCATCCTTAGTAGACTTACTATCCTCGGGATTAATCTAATAACGTAAGATTAGTAGCCGGCGGCAAACTTTACGCCTATACTATCCGCGGTTATTACGGTTATAAGAGCGCTTATTATCTATAAGGTATAGAGCATTCGCTTAGCCGCTATCGATAAGGGGTCGTACTTAGACTTATTATAAGAAGAAGTACTTCGAAATGCACTATCTGTATTTATAAGCGTAAGAATAATAGTTTAGAGCTTTATAACCCTAACTACCTACGAAGGAATGCCTTCCCCTATAGATAGGATACTATATATACGGACATACGGACTTAAGATCCGCTTTACTACTAAGGCTACTAGAAAAGTTAGTTAGCCGAAGGTAGACACTATCGCCGTTAATAAGATAAGCCTTTTAATAGATAATATCNNGGCTNTAATATATAGACTAAACGAGTCTACTTAGTATAGGCTTATAGAAGACCTNCTAATCCTACCTAATAAAACTAGGGCACTTAAAACGGCTAGTAAAGAAGGATAAGGGTCGAAGNTACTAGATCTAAATATAGCAGAATTATTTAACGATCCGTCTAANATAATCGAAAGCTAGAGTTTCCTAAAGGATCTAAGGAACACATTCTCCGTAGATAGGTATAAGTAGATATAGAAACGATTATTTAACGAACTAGGAGTAGTAATAAGACTAACTAGTAGAGATATAGACGCTATCTAGTATAAGGATAATATTAAGTAGGACGAGAATAAGGTTTAACAGTACTTCTAGAAGGTTAAAGCTTTTAAAAAAGAACTGTTTACCCTAGTTTACCTAACTAGAGGTATGCTTACGCGAAGAACCGAAATCCTTAGCGTCTAATACGAGAATAGTAAGGGAAGTAGGTCTTAAAGAGGAATATTTATCGATTAAGGACTAGTTACCTTTATTACTTCTTACTATAAGGGCTATAGCGTAAGTTAAAAGGTAAAGATTATTTATAGATATATGCCGAAAGAGGTTAGTAAATTAGTCGTCTACTTCTTATAGTTAGTAAAGCCATTTATACGCTAACTACTTATCTCGACTAGAAAATAGCTCGACTTTAGCTTATTTCTTTAGGAGTATAAGCTAGAGGAATAGCTAGTCGACGAGGAAGATCTAGCCGATATAAACTAATTAGCGGACGAGGACTAGGGTAACGTTAACGATAAATAGAGTACTAGGGATAGCGATAGCGAAGAAGAAGTAATAGAATCTCCTCTTAGCCCTTAACTAAGAACGGTAAAGAATATAGATAGTTTCTAGAATGTAGATAAGGTACGATATATTATTAGGAGGGAGACATCGTCTAGGATTAGCGTTAGGATTAATATAGCTACCTAGAGATAAATATATCCTACTATCTAGAGGGAGTATACTAGAGAAAAGAAAGTTAAAGATAAGCTAGGCGAGGTTTACGATAGTTAGTAAAAGAAGGAAGAAGACAACTATAAGAAAAGGTAATTAGGGTATAGTAGAAGGACGGAAGAGATAATATACGGCTTACTAACCTCTAAGTCGCCCTTCTACACTAAATCGGAATAGGCCGAATTTCGAGCGGTAAGCCTCGACTAGTATAGATTTCTACACTTCGAATTCGCCTAGCTAAATCTAGACGAGGTATAATTATCGGCTAGTAAGGACCTTCTAGATAAGGAAAACGCGTAAGCGTAGTTTCGACGATAAGGTCGTTTACGCTAGATCGATCTCTAGCACTAGTTAGAGAGGCTATACGGCTATAGTACCTAGTTTAAGTATAATTAAAGACTAGTGTTAGAAGCCGTTATAGGAGGACACCTTAGGATATTAGCAATTATAAAAACTAGTAGAGGTAAGAGTTTATTCTTTATATTACTAGCAGTAAGCTTAAAGGAAGGAGTTACGATCGTTATCGTCCCGCTAAACTTACTAAGAGACGATCTAATAGACCGATATAAATAAGCCGGCATTCCTTACGCTAGTTAGTAAGGTAGGAACCCGGCCTACTAGGCTAATATTATATTTATTATACTAGAATCCGCGGTTATAAAGTCCTTCGGCACCTATATAAATTAGAAAAGGGCGGTCTAGTAATTAGACCGCATCGTCGTTAATAAGTGTTATACTATCCTTAACTCGATAGATGTATAGAGGCTAAAGTTAAGGCTATTATAGAAGATAATAGAGAAATAATGTTAGGTTATCTACTTAACTACTACTCTAGGGCCTAAAGATAAGTTAGCATTTACTACGGCTATAGGACTAGAGCGGAAAGACCTATTAATCTTTTAGAGTCCTATAATACGGTAAAACATCGAATATTAGGTTCTTAAGTATAAATCCGACTTTAGAGACACTTTTATTAAGGATCTAGTCGAGAAGAAGAGATAATAGTACCTACTCCCGTATTAAATTATCGTATACGTATAGTCGGTAAAGCTAGTAAAGCATTTAGTAGAGCTATTAGAGTGTAGCTAGTATTTTAGGGATATCGTATTAGAACCCGATAAGAGGAAGCTTCTACGACGTTTAACTACGGCTTAGGAATACGTATAGGTAGCTATAAACGTATTAGGCTTAGGTATAGATACGCCGTCTATTAGAGTAGTTATTTATATCGATCCTAAGGGGCGTATACGTAACTACTCCTAAGAGAGCGGCCGCGCTAAAAGGAATAACCTTAAGAGCGAAGCTATAATCCTAAGAGGCTTTAGCTATAACCCGAGTATAGGCGAGAAGTTCTATAGAGGCGGATTTAGATAAACAGAGTAGGCATTAAAAGATTTTATAAAAGGCAATATATATCGTAGGGTAATCCTAGATAGGGAGATAGACGGGAGAGATAATAGACTTAGTTACGAGAGTAGGGAAGAGAGGTACGATGTCTATTAGGTAAAACTAAGGGGAGAGAAGAGGGTAAAGATAGTAGCCGACTAGTTAATGCTAAACGACAAATACGAGCGCGAGATAGTAAGGTATAAGCTAATAAGGAGAGAACGTATCGAGAAACGTATCGCGTAAGAGGCTAGTCTAGAAGAGATCGAAGAGGTGTTCCAATTATAGTAAGGCATCTACGTAATCTATAGGGTTAAGGGGTTAACTTATTAAGATTATATTACTCCTTAATGTTCTAATATTATAGAAGAAGAAACGGTATACTATAGAGTCGCATTCGAGCTTATAGATCGGATCGAATTCGAGCCCTATACCTACTATAAACTTTATTAGGCGCTATAGGCAGTTTACTATAGGTAGGAATATACACTCGTTAAAGGCAGATAGGGATATAAGATAGTATAAGGTAGATCGTATTAATTCCCTTATATATTAAAAGAAGCATTAATCGCGCTATACTATTTAGATCTAAAGGGTTATATACTAGAAAAGTAGATAGAGGAGGAAATGCGTAAAGTCGGATATAATAGAGTTACGGAGCAGTTAGACCTAGAGGTAAGGATTAGGAACTAGTTCTAAAGAAAGGTCCGTATAAGAGAAGTAGAGATAAGTAAGATATATAGGATCTTCTATATATAGGGCGTATAAAAAGGTGTAGAAAGCTATAATAAATAGGATAGTAACTTAACATCGAGATGATACTACACTATAACTTATATACGAGGGGAACCGTATTAATTCTCGATAGGAGTTTAATAAGAAGTATACCTTACGATAATAGCTCGAATAACGGTCGGGTATACTATAACTTTACCTACGTATATAGGTAACTATATAAACGATAATAAGAGCACGATAGCACCCTAATATAGTAGAAGATATAATCCTCTATACGACACTATAGCAATTTACTATAACGAACCTTCTTTTCTAACTACAATCCGACGAAGGAAGTGACTCAATTCCATTGAAACCCCGCCCGGCGTCGCTCGTCTTGGCACGTGGACAGGACTCAATTCCATTGAAACTTGGCACTCAATTCCTTTGAACTTAACACACTCTAATCCGGCCAAATTTCCGACAGAAAATAGAACATATTAATCCACTCGACCAACCAGAATTTTAAAAGCATAGAACCCCTAGTAGCCATCATATCTGTTTGCTAAAACGTCGTCAAATCTCGAAGTTCGTCGCTAC